AGTATTGATGTCAATAAAAATTATTTTGAAAACAGTAATGTGAGGTTTGGTTCGGTTTGGTTAAAAAAAAAATATGAGGACTGTCTGGGCACTTCCTTTCAAGATTGTCTTTTTTCTCTGATTATAAAAATCACACTGCAAGCATATTCATCAAGGACCTGATCAAACTCAACATTTTTATTTTGAGATGTGATCTCATAACTGAGTCAGCAGTACTATTAAAAAATAACAAAAAAAGCAAGGCTTAAAATAAGATGGGAAAGAACTTTTTTACTGAATTCTGACAGTGAAAATAAATGTGGAGATATCAAAATGAGGAAAATAGCCAGTAATACTGTGCAAACCTGTAACATCATAACATAAATGCACCTTCAACTGAGTGCTTATTGAATTACCTTTAATGACCAGAAATACATTTGACATATCCTGTAAGCATATTAGTGTTGAAATGTTTGTGTAGTTCGCACACACATCTTAAAGCATTTTCAGGCAAGTTCAAATGGAAAGTTTTCAAACTACCTCCTTATTTCATTCTGTTATATGAGCTCTTTCTCTTTAATTCTTCTTGCCCAAAAGGGTATTGACAGTGGGCAGGCATTTAGGAGGGAGTAGCCTTCAGGGCCAAGGGGTCAGAAATCTAGGCCACAGTTTGGTCAAGAATATGATAGATAACATAATATGATGCAGGTGTAGACTGTTCTCAAGAATTGCCTAATTTTAAGGTTATTAAGGAGAGGTATGAAAACCTTTAGTTGATTTTATTCTGTCACATACATTATGCTTACATGGAATAATATTTTGGTAAGGGAGCAAAAGAAATTATTATGGAGTTCTTTAAAAAAGAAAGCAAAAATTACAGGTACTTGTGCTTATGCATATCCAATAGGTGCTCAGTAAATCCCTGTTGACCTATATCCGTTAACTTTCTTGTCTTTTTTTTTAAATTGAAGTATCTACTCTGTAGATACACAATCTTATATTGGTTTCACATATACAGCACAGTGGTTCAAAAGTTATTTTCTTTTTAGTTAACTTTCTTTTCTTAAAAAATGTGCCAAAATGAGTGAAAGAATCTAAGAACAAGAATATTCAGATCAGGATTGTTTGTAAGGGCTGAAAATTGGAAATATCTGCCACTAAGATATTTTAAAAATATGTATGTATACATTTGTAAATGCATAAAATGACTGCAAACATTAAGACACTGTTACCAATGGTTACCTCTAGGGAAGGAAACCAAGGCTGAAGGGGCACTTACCTTTCATGCCTGTTTTTTTTTTTACCTTTAAAATTCTGTACTATGTGCATGTAGTGTCCATTCAAGAAAATAAATGAAATTTGAAATAAAGTGGGTCAAATTTTCAAAGCGATAGTTAAACCATATTTGTCATCGTTTTCCTGCTCTTCTTCCTTCTAAGTGTACATAACTACCCTATTAATCTTAGAGCTCCACGTTTAATGTTACTCCCAAGCTCAAGAAGCTATAGCAGTTCCTTGTTGCCTGTACACTGGCTTGGTATCCTCTGCCTGATCATCAAGTCTCTCCACATCCTGGCCCAGGTCTCATCTTCAATACTAGTCTTAAAGGCTTTTCTCTCCAATGCACTTTGCTATAAGATAATTTTCCTCACTTTTGCCTGAACATATTAGGGACATTTCCATCTCTCTATGACTGCTAATGTATTTTTGCCCCTTCCACCTTTTTTCCATCTATTTTGTGAATGCTTCTATGAACTCCTGTTAAACTTTTCCTCAAAATCACACAATTTGGCATTTGATTATATAATGTACTCAAGTTTCATTCAAATTAATCATATGTTCTCAGCTGAATTAATTTGCTAGTATGTGAGGTTTGGTGATTAAAGTATAGTCTTATTCATGAGGAGCAGAGTTCAGTGGTGTTTCCATTGCAGTCTGATTCCTGTAAGCCAGGGACCATTCAGAAGATACAACAATTACACCTTCTAGTCAGAGTTGATGGTGGCCAAGACACCTGTAAGAGGGGGCGCTCTGTTTTGGAAGGATTCATTTCAGTTTTCTTCATCAACCCCACAACACAGTGTTAGCTTCAAAGGATGAGTAAATTGGCTAATACAAGGCACAGTAGAGTGTGCACCAGACCAAACTGAACCGAACCACCTGAGGAACAAATTCTTGAATAATAGGCCTTCTGAATTCTCATCTGTACTAAGTCAGTAAATAGCTGTGTGATGTTTGGCATTTTGCAGTTTTTACTAATTTGCTGTTATTGCTTCTTTTTTCTTATTTCAAGAATAATATATGAGTTTCTTAGCAAAAATAGATTAGTAAAAATAATAAAATACAAACCATCTGAGATCCCATTATCTAGTGACAACTGGTCTCTTTTGGTGTATATACTTTTTTTATGTGTTTTACATATATATACCATATATTTATAAAACTGGGATAATAATATACATACTTTTAAATTTAAATTTTATAGCTTTACTTTTTAAATTGAGATATAACTTATACCCAGTAATGTACATAGGTCTTAGTGAATTTTTACATAGTCCATACTGTTTTGTAATCATTTTTTTCACTACCAATGGAGTGTGAACATTTCTCAGGCATATGTTTCTGCATAATTTTAAATGACTGCATAGTATACTACTGCATGGGAACCATTGCTTATATGATTGTTTGGCATTTAATTTTTTTTCCCAGCTAACATTTAATTTTTTAAAATTATTTTCATTATTATAACTAATTTGGTAAAGATAACAAACATTGCTGTATCTTTGTACACACTCTTGATAATAATAGTTGGATACATTCCTAAGTATGGTAATGCTTAGATAATATTTATGTAAATTCTGATTTTTCCTATGTCAATTTCTGTTTCAGAAAGTGTGTACCAATTTCTTGTGCTGCCAGCAGATGTTGAGTGTGTCTAGAATTCTACTAACTTTAATATGCAGAATGTGAGAGCATGATGGTTTAGGAAAAAGAGCCTTAGAGTTGGATTTAATAAAACATGAGAGAATGCTTTACTAACAGTCCTTTCATAATCTTTTTTTTCTTCAGAACAGTATCAAAGCATTGTCTTGATTGTTCTCAGGATGGAGAGTAAAGACACAATACTCTTTTTTTCTAGTTAAGATTGTCTAGTGTTTGAGGGACTTCACATCATTTTTCTTTTTAATTGTGGTAAAATATAAATAACATAAAATATACCATTTAACCATTTTAAGTGTATAGTTCTGTGGCATTAAAGTATATTCACATTGTTGTGCAACCATTACCACCATCCATCTCCAGAACTTTTTCATCTTTCAAAACTGACCCTCCATTCCCATTAAACAATAATTCCCCATTTACCTCTCCCACCAGCCTGTGGTAACCTCCATAATTCTTTCTGTCTGCATGACTTTTGACTACTCTAGGGACCTTATGTAAGTGAAATCATACAGAATGTGTCCTTTTGTGATTGGATTATTTCACTTAGCATAATGTCTTCAAGGCTCATCCATGTTGTAGCATCTGTTGAAATATCTTTCCTTTTTAAGGATAAATAATGCTCCATTGCATGTATGTACCACATTTAGTTTTTCTATTCTTCCGTTGTTGAACACTTGGGTTGCTTCTACCTTTTGGTCATTGTGAATAATGACCTATGAACATGGGTGTGCAAATACCTTTTAAGTCCCTGCTTTCAGTTCTCTTGGGGATCTACCTAGGCATGGGATTGCTGCAACATAGGGTAATTCTATATTTAATTATTTGAAAATTGCCACCCTGTTTTCCATAGCAGCAACTTCACATCATTTTAAGGCCATTTGTCAGTTATTCTGGTCAGGATTTTGTGATACCCAAGTAGGCTTCCAAATACCTCAAGGGATGTGAAATTTCCCCTCCCCCCCAAAAAATTAATTATTTAATTATAATTTTTTAAAGATTCTATTCAGAACTTTTAGGAAGAGAGGGCATATAATGAGGGACTAGTGGAATGGTGTTTTGATGCCTTATTATATTCTTGAGAAATAAATCTTAAAAAAGATGTATATAGGTGGGATCAATGAAAAAGTATCTTTTTTCAAGGTGGTAATTCATAAGGTCATCTAAAGGATTAAGGCAGTTAAAATATTGTATCACTGACCACTGACATTCTTTAAGTCCTAGACCTGACCTGCATTTCCTAGGGCCACAATTAGCTGAAACACAGACTCCCTGGATCCACCTTAGGTCAGACATACTCCTGGATATGGAGAAAGCCAACTTAATAGAAAAGACACAGTGATCTGACCATGGTCATCATACAGTTCTCCTCACTGTCCTATTTTATTTCCCTCATAGCACAAATCACTGTTTTAAATGACCTTATTTGTTTGCATGTTTCTTGTCTGTCTCCTTTCATCAGAATGTAAGCTCCTTATGAACAGAGACTTGTTTACCACACCTTTTCCTGCAGCTCTGCTGGGCAGAGAATAGGTCCTCAATGAATATTTGTTGAATGAACAACTTATCAAATGAATGAAATTTTCTCTCCTAGTCTATTTCTACTCCTAACCTATTTAGAAAATTATGAAATATTCTGAAAACTCAGAAAAGCACCTATTGCTCATACTTAACAAATTCTAAGATTTTAATGTCTTTTTTCAAATTTTCTGCTATCCCTTAAAAGAAAGGTAAAAGATTAAAAAAATATAGAGGACATGGAGAGATGGCTAATTTGGGGAGTATGTAAAGATGGACAGTCTTTGTCAACCCACGAGACTTACAGTTCATTTGCCTCCTTTACATGAACTTAAACTACAGTTCCCAGACAGCACTGCAACAGTTAGACGCATGGTCTATTCTCTCTTCTGTGAACAGCCAATGAAAGGTAGAGTTTACAAAGGTCTAGGATGACATCTAGTGTATTGACTGTGGCCAGCCTTAAATCTAGTTATTGCTGTTTGGAACAAGCTGCTGTATACCAAGCTGATTTTAAAAGGCTTTTCCTGTTAATTTGTAGCTCATTGTGTCTCTTGTTTCAGAGGGAAGAAAAACTGATTTAGTAATCTAAATGGACTCCATACTGAATTACAACTTGGAAGATACTGAAGATTACTACATATTACTGGGATGTGATGAATTGTCCTCGGTAAGACAGTGGCTAATGCTCTTCTTTTTCACAACAGTGTTTCAAGTTTTTGTTTAAGGTTTTAACTTTGAACTTTTAGTCACGGTGCTTAAAAACCTAATCTTCTAATGCTTAAAAACCTAATCGTTTTAAAGCACTTTCGGCTTAGAGAAAGTTAAGGATTTATTTTAAATGTGTGTTTGTCTTTATTACATAGTGTCCTCTTGTGATTTTATGGACACTTCTGATTGAATATGTGTTTTCCAGCACATGGCCAGAGACTCTATTTCAAATATACCAAAAATATATATTTGAAATTTTATTGTAGTGCTGTTGGCAGTGTTTCATAGTATATATAAGCTAACTCTTTATTAGGGTAATTTACACTGTAGTTGAAATGAAATGTAGTTTTCTAGTAATTAGTGATTTTAAGTGTTTTATTGAAATATGCACTTTTATGTGAGCAGTTAAATTATATAAACCAAGAGACATCTTTCCATGTTATTATTTCAAATTGTGTGAGAGAAATTACTTCTTAAAAGGGTGGCTTCTGAAACAAAACATGTGAAAATTCTGGAGCTGTTCACCTGATCTATAATGGAATTATGTTTTTAAAGAGCCACATAGACAATTATAAGGTTTTAAAAGCTTTTTAAATTATGTAACATTTGTTTATAATTCTGCCTCCCAAGGGTAATACTATTAATGCTTGGTATATTAACCTCTAGTCTTTTTCATATATTTTTTGATGATCTGTTTGGGAGGATATTATATATGCTTGCTGATTTCTGCTTTTTACCCATTAACATTGTAACAGGGATTTCTCCATGCTATTAAACACTCTTCATACACATTTTAATGATTGCTTCTTTCATTTTATTGTTGTACAACAGTTGACTATTCTCTTATTCTCTTATTATTAAATAGTTCCTTTATTTCCAGTTTTTCAGTATTTTAAAGGCTGTTAAGATGAATATGAAGTATATTTCAATTATATTATTAAACATATTCATATTTATATTTTATATAATAATTCTTAAATAGTTTTATTTGACTGAAATATAGCTATTAATATTAACATATTTTAAGGCAAAGTATTTACTTATCTGTTTCATAAGGCTGGAGTTTAGTAATAAAATGTGCTTCATTTTGTTTGCAGAATAGAATGCAATATTGTGCACAAAGGATTAAAATATCTATGTTCATGCTGAGGAAGTTATCTTAGGTACCTTGTAGTTAAACACACACACACACACACACACACACACACACACACACACACACAGAACAGGTTATAACAGTCTTTTTGTTGCACATTTCTTCTTTGGGGTGATATGTACTCTCATTCATTTTGGTGGTGATTTGCTTGTAGCAATTGAGAAAGCTTATTGCCATTTTTACCATATGTGTTATTGACACTTTGGATGATGCTATTGCCAAGCAATTTTTAAAAATTAAAGTATCATTGATATATAATCTTATGATGGTCTCAAATACACAACACAGTAGTTCAACATTCATACATATCAAGTTCTCACCCTCTCCAGTGTCATCACTGCCCATCAACATTGTAAGATGTTACAGAGTCAGTAAGTATGCTCTCTGTGCTGTACTACCGTCCCTGTGACCAACCTATATTGTGATGGTGAATTATTGTGCCCCTTAATCCCTGTCTCTCTCCCCGACTGCCACCCTCCCCAACCCCTCCTCTTTAGTAACTACTAGTCCCTTCTTGGTGGCTATGAGTCTACTGCTGTTTGTTTCTTCTGTTTTACTTTGTTTTTATACTCCACAAATAGGTGAAATCATTTGGTATTTGTCTTTCTCTTCCTGGCTTGTTTCATTGAGCATAATACCTCTAGATCCATCCATGTTCTTGCAAATGGGAGGAATTATTTTCTCTTTATGGCTGAATAATGTTCCATTGTGTATATGTACCACAAATTCTTTATCCATTCATCTACTGATGGACACTTAGGTTGCTGGGCAATTTTTTTACTGAAGTATAGTTGATACACAATATTACATTGATTTCAAGTATTATCACAGTGGTTCAACAGTTATACACATTATTAAATCCTTACTCAACTAGTGTGGTTACTATCTGTCAACATAAGAAGATGTTACAGAACCATTGGCTATATTCTCCATGCTGCACTCCCATCCCCATGAGCACCTTACATTATAACTGAGATTTTTATGCCCCTATTGACAAATAACTTTTGAAGGAACTATTTAAAATCAAAAGAATATAATTCAACTTGGGAAGTTTCACAATTTGGATTAAAAAACATTGTCATAATAGGTGATAAAGTAAAGGTGATTATATCCCCTTAATAATTCTCTTGATCCATTTAACTGGTCTTTTATACTTATGTTATGTCTTTCCAGTCTGCAAAGGAGGATTACTTTTGAATAGACTACAAAAAATGATCCTGTTGTTTATAATGAGTATAAGAGTTTCATTTCCTGGTTACCAGTTATACTCATACTTGTCTGTGTATACACACACACACACACACACACACACACACATACATATATATGCTACATACATACTGAGGCATATATTAAAAGGAGACTTAAAGTATTGTCTTGACATTCCTTCTTCTGGTTGTATTTTACTGATTCTGTCAATGGCATAGTATGTGAAGATAACAATCATTTATGTAAAATGAAATGGCCCATCACAATTTTGTCAATTTCTTTTATGTATATCTTTCCCCTCTTCTTTTTATATGTATCCTTCACATTTGAAAAAAATTTAATGCCATTTTTGGGTACTTAGTGTGACATATCCTTTACTTGATTTGTATTAGAAAGATTTCCTTTACTTCAAATATTCCTTGATTTTATGCTCTAAAAGATTGACCAGTACTGTTCATATCCCAAAGCAATTAAAAGTTAGAATTTCAAAGCAACTTGATATTTTGATTCTACTTATAACAGTTGAGTTTAGACACACACATAATTCTTTTGCTTTAGTATACAGTTCTTAAAATTTAAAGCTGGTATTGGAAATTAATTAAATGATAAGTATAAACCATGGGAGGATTTCCATGCTGTTGAGTAGAAAACAACATACCCCTCATTTCAAAAACATTTACTGAAGTTTGATTCCAAGGCAGCTTTTTCCCCTACATCAGATTTTACACGAAGGGACACAGGTTATAAAATCCTCTAAAGTTCTTACTGATGCATACAACACATACTAGTGGTGTAAAGTATCCTCTCTGGTGTGGATCTTATTTGGTGTTTTAATATTTGGTCACCATTTCGGTAGTAATGACAAGAAGAGTTCCTGATGTCAAGATTTCATGGACTTGAAAACTGAGCATAAATTCCATAAATGGAAACTTCTATATTTTTTCCTATTCTCTTTCTAATTAACTTCAGACCACCTGGGTTTAAATCTTACCATTCTGGAAAAATTACTTAACTATTCTGTGCCTCAGTTTCCTAATCTGCAAATGTGGATAATAATAGTACCCACCTCGTAGATTTGCTGTGGAGATTAAATGAGACATGATACATAAAGTGCTTAAAACAGTGCCTGGCACATGGTAATTTGTGGTTGTGGTTGTGGGTGTTGTTTTGGTCTCACAGTAGTTAATACTGTGCCCTCCGAACGTTGCTAATTTACCCTATCCTATAATTCATGTTATTTAAAAGTTTTATTTTGAAATGATTTTTAAAACAGTTTTTGGTTCACAGCAAAATTGAGTGGGAGATACGGTGATTTCCCATACACCTCTTTCCTCCACACATGCCTCCCCCATTACCAACTTCCACCAGAGTAGTATACTTGTTACAACTGATGAACCTACACTGATGCATCATAATTGCCCAAAGTCAGTAGTTTACATTGTGGTTCACCCTTGGGTTTGTATATTCTGTGGATTTGGACACAGGTACAATGATAGTATCATTATAAACAATTACAGTATCATACAGAGTAGTTTCACAGCTTTAAAAATCATCTATGCTCCATTTTTTGGAATATTTTTTGACTTACAGAAAATTGGCAAAAATAATACAGAGAGTTCCTTATACCCAGTTATTTCACCCAGCTTCCCTTAATGGTAATATCATATTTACAATGATCAGGCCAAGTACAATTATCAATATCAGAAAACTAACATTGGTACAATAGTATTAACTCAATGGAGCCAGCAAGCATTTTTTGTATAGGACCAGATAGATAGTGTAAGGACTAAGGTGAGGCAGGCAGAGCTCTTAGGACGCTAAATTTAAGGAGGCACTAATTCTCAGTGTTGGGCAAGCACAGCAGCCTGATAGAGCAAGTGCCTCTTTGAACCTAGGCATCCTGCTCATCACACCCTGTGCTGACCTTGTGATAACAAATACCCTACACTTCGCAGGACTTATGGTGTCTTTCACAATTACTCAGCTCTGCCATTAGGAGAAAGTAGCCATAGATAATATGTAACTAAATGACCATGGCTGTTTTCCAATAAAACTTTATTTAAAAAACAGGTGCTAGGCCAGGTTTGGCCTGAGGGCCAGAGTTAGTCAACCCCTGATCTAAAGTGTAGATCTCATTCTAATTTCATCAACTTTTCTAGTAATGTCCTTTTTTTCCTCCAAGATTGAAGACAGGAGCCTTTACACTCAGTTGTCCCGTTCCCTGTTTCCTCCAAAATGACAATTTCTCATATCTTCCTTATGTTGCATGACCTGGACACTCTGAAGATTAATGGTCAATTATTTTGTATTATGTCCCTTATTTCTGATTTGTTTGATGTTTTCTTATGATTTGATTGGGGTTTGGTTCTCTGAAGGAATATGTCAAAAGTGATCTTGTGCCTTTCTCGGTATATCCTGTCAGGGTTCATGATGTTAACATGTCTTATTGACCTTGATCACTTGGTTAAGGTTGTGTCTGTTAAGTTTTCTTATGCCAGGTTTTTCCACTGTATGGTTACTATTTTCCCTTTCATAATTAACAAATATCTTGGTGAAGATTCTTTGGGACTATAGCAGATCTCCTCAGATGTTCACCATTAATTTTAGCACCTTTGGTGTATCTTACCTGTAATAGTTACTACTACAGTATTTGCCTTATGATAACTTTGTTTTCCTCATTGATTTTACATTTATTTCTTGGAATTCTTCTGTAAAGAAAAGCTATCCCTTCTCTCACATTTATTTATTTACTCATTTATTTCTGTCACTATGGATTAATAGGTAGTTATTATATTTTATGGTTTATAACCCAATACTACCATTATATATTTTGGTTCAAATTGTTTCTATAGCTCATGTTTTAATTAATTATCCTTTGATTAGGATGATGTCTGATGATCTCATGGAATTTATTTCAGAGATATTGTAATATCTGGAGTTTTGTGGGAAAAAACAAAGTGAATTAAAGTGATGGGTGCTAATTAACCCATTTATTAACATGAGTCTTCTCTTTTCTGCAATATATTCTGCAGTGTGTACATTTCCATCACTTGAATTAGTTCATTCTTTTAATGAATAAATCACATTTTTCAGAAAGCTCCTATTACACTACAGCTGTGTTATTTGAAGAACATCAGTCAGTCTGTCATCAAGTATCTATTCAACATATTCAACACTTAGCATCAGGCCGGTACTTGAAGTGATGAGGGAAAACAAAACAAAACAAAAAGGTGAGCCATGGTGTGAGCATATAAAGAATTTGGCATCTAGTTGAGGAGCCAAAGCTAATACACAGGAAACAATTTGAGAACAAAAAAGTCCTGTGCTACATGGTTCTGTGTATAAGTCCAACAGGAATTAAAGAAAGACTATCTGAAAAACTTCAGTGAAGAGGTGGTGCTTGAAATGATCTTACTCTGTCAAAATTTAAGTGCATGGAGGGAGAGCAGAGAGCATTTGTGTGGCCAGGGAAAGCTTGGAAAAGGTCCATTGAAGTGGAAATCAGATTAGGTCCTATTTCACACGAGTATTTCCTGGCATAGGTCAAAATATTGTGCTAATAGGGTATGGAAAAGGTTAGTTTTTTAAAAAAAATTAGTTTTATTTTGGTATCATTAATCTACAATTACATGAAGGACATTATGTTTACTAGGCTCCCCCCTTCACCAAGTCCCCCCCACATACCCATTCACAGTCACTGTCCATCAACTTGTTTAAATCTGCCATATGGAACTTGTTAAAGGTCCCTAAGCCTGAAAAATTTGGCCACATAAAACAGTGGTTAAGATTATTGGATTTGAAGTCCAACTACTTAGTTAACAAAAAAACTCAGCTTTTTTAGTAACTAGTAAATGACTTCAGACAAGTTACTTAACCACTGACATTTAATTAAAAAAATAGCTACTATTACTGAGTTACTACTATGATCAGACTTTGTGTTAAGTGCTCTACTTACATTATTCATGTAATGTAAAGATACATAACTTGCCTAAAGTCTCAGGACAGAACTAGGATTTAAAACGAAACAATCAGATTCTAAGAGTCAGGAATCCTCTCTTCTCTTGCTTCTGTTATTGCAGTTATGATTAATAAAAGCAAGTCTTGATAAATGATGATAATAAGGATTAGATGGGTGAGTGAAATAAAATCATATCATAGATAGCCCTCAAACCTCATTTTACTTGGGCTGAAGTTTGTTTTCCCAAGCTATTAATTGGTAACAAAATTATCAGGCTTGAATTATGTCTTTTTTATTGTGGGAATTATGTCCCACCAGCAGTGTAGGAGGGTTCCCCTTTCTCCACAACCTCACCAACATTTGTTGTTGTTTGTCTGGAAAAGGTTAGTTTTTAAATTTTAAAATTTAATCTCTAAAATTAATATATATTCAATAAGGAAATGTGGAGTATGAAGAGATCTTAATGTTAAAGGAATGTTAGATGTTAACATCTAATGTCAAGATGTTAAACTTAATGTTTAATATTTGGGAGTATAACACATGCATGCCAATTATGCATGCATAAATGCTATATTTGCATATTATGAAATAAGTACGTGCACATATGTGTAACTATTTTTATAGGTATTCAGAGTCAGACTGCCTGAATTTAAATCTGCCATTTACTAGCTGTGTGATCTTGGGAAAAATACATAAGTTCTCCATCTCATGACAAAAAAGGTTTCCTCATCTGCAAAATGTGAATAATTATAGTACCCACCTCATAGAGCTGTGGGAATTAAATGAGAAGCTATATGCAAAGTGCTTAGAACAATGCCTGGCACAGAGTAAATCTCAATAAGTCTTAGCTGTGATCATTATTATTATTATAATGGCACTGGGCATTGGGCACATAGTATGGGGATGCCAGAAGATAAATAGAACATGACCCAAAACAAACTAACTCACTTTACCGATTATTTTTCCCAGAACCAGCCTTCAGTCAGAGATTTGTGATAAACTTTGTGACCAACTATGAAAAGTAATGGGAGACACATATAGTCCGTATTTTTTAAATAAGAAATTTGTATAATACAGAAAATATAAAAGAGAAACTAGCAATCACACATGCTAGTGCTATTGAGAATTAACCATTTTGACACATTTATTTCCATGGGCTAATATTAACATTTCCTAATGGGATATGAATTAAAAAACAACAGCAATAAAAACCCAAAATTTCTGCCTTTGTTAGATAGGGATAATTATATCTATTTATTATTAAAGCCTCTGTGTGTGTGTGTGTGTGTGTGTGTGTGTGTGTATACATGTATATATATATATACACAAACATAAATAATTATATAAAAAAAGTAAAAAATGTATTTTGAAGACTGTAACCTGTTATCTTGGGAGAAGGGTAAAGAGGCTTTTCCTTTTTATTCTGTATTGATAGAAATTTTTTCAAAGACAGTTTGTGAGTATTCATAAATTACTTGTTAATTAAAAATTCTTACTACTACTAGAATCTTTGGAGTATTAAACAGCTTAAAATTTAAAAATAATTCTCAATTTTCTTTGCTCTATAGGCAGTTACAGTGACTGATTGTTACTGGGAGCACCCAGGAAGAGGGAGCACAGTTAATTACAGTTCTTAACAAGGAGTCTGACGCTTCCTGTTATCCAAGGGGTTCTCAGTAAATATGCATATAAACAAAGCCCAGGCTGCTTGGGCATTATGCACATGCATATTTAATATAGCCTGACTTTGATTATAAAAATAAAGAAATTTTTTATGAGAATTGATTAAAGGTGACAGAGATCATAAAAATGTCTTGCTCCCATGAATCTTTTTTTCTCCCATGAATCTTACAGCAATATTGAGCTGAACTTCTTGAGAGTTCATTTCTCAAACAAGAGGTAATTTTCTTTCACTAATCAGTGGATAGTACATATGGAACTTGTTAAAGGTCCCTAAGCCTGAAAAATTTGGCCACATAAAACAGTGGTTAAGATTATTGGATTTGAAGTCCAACTACTCAGCTTTTTTAGTAACTAGTAAATGACTTCAGACAAGTTACTTAACCACTGACATTTAATAAAAAAATAGCTACTATTACTGAGTTACTACTATGATCAGACTTTGTGTTAAGTGCTCTACTTACATTATTCATGTAATGTAAAGATACATAACTTGCCTAAAGTCTCAGGACAGAACTAGGATTTAAAACGAAACAATCAGATTCTAAGAGTCAGGAATCCTCTCTTCTCTTGCTTCTGTTATTGCAGTTATGATTAATAAAAGCAAGTCTTGATAAATGATGATAATAAGGATTAGATGGGTGAGTGAAATAAAATCATATCATAGATAGCCCTCAAACCTCATTTTACTTGGGCTGAAGTTTGTTTTCCCAAGCTATTAATTGGTAACAAAATTATCAGACTTGAATTATATCTTTTTTATTTAAAGTAGCATTGATAATATAATCTTATATTGGTTTCAAGTATACAACACAGTGGTTCAACAGCTACCCATATTATTAAATCCTCACCCCCACTAGTGCAGTTACTATCTGTAAACATAGGAAGATGTTACAGAATCACTGGCTGTATTCTCCATGTTGTACTACCATCCCTGTGAAATTATGTCTTCTTCTAAAAATTGTGAAATCATTAATAAAAAAGACAAGGGCTAAAAGGCAGGAAGAAGGAGCTTTGTAATGGATAATTTATAAATTGATCAGTCCTCCCTGAATAATGAATGGTGGCTAAACATCTTTTGAAGAACTCAGTTGTGTGAAAACATCTTTTACATATTCTTAGGATAAACCTATCTGACCATTTTTTGGCATTTAAATGTATTGAGCTTGTAGGTGCCATCATCTAAATATCATAGCAAGTTTAATTGCATCACAGACCACTGTTTGAATAGGAGCATTTAATACATTTTTTCTGAATTTCATTAATAAGGAAATTATTTCTTATAATGAAAAATCAAAATACAAATATAAAGAGTTGGGTTTGATTATGGCTTTTTGGGAATGACTGACAGATGCCCAGCTTCTTCCTTCATGCTAAATAGTATGTTTGTTTTAGGTTGAACAAATCCTGGCAGAATTTAAGGTCAGAGCCCTGGAATGTCACCCTGACAAGCATCCTGAAAACTCCAAAGCTGGTAAGTATTTAATAATGGCTGAAAAGGATATGGAATTAAAAAGTCGTTAACTTAATTTTATTTTATCTGTTATGCTCAAACTCATTCTTTCATTCAATGCCAAATAATGTTTTTTGCACTAGTGCATGCAGGAGGGGAGGGAACTGTGTAGGGCCTTTTTTCTAACAGTAGTCATTTAACATCCATTTTTCCTTCAGCTATAACATGCTGCTTCATGGTTTAAAATTTGTCCAGTTTATGATTTATTTCACAGCTCTTGAATGCTCACATGACTTAAGTATATTTGTAAACAGGGGTTGTCCTGATCAGCACCTTGCTGTGTTTCCTTCATTTTCAGTATGTCTATATAAAATATATGATGATATATTCATTCTTTTTCCTTTATCATAACTTAAATTCCATGATCACAAATTTAGACTTAAATTTGATGTGTACCTCAGCTTGAAAAAATGCAAACCAATTATCCTGCCTTATCCAGACTCTTTTCTGCTCCTCCGCTATTTATCTCTTTCCTTTTAGGGCCAAATTTCCTGAAAAAAAAAAAAAAGTCCATAGTTAATATCTCTATTCCCTTGTATCCAGTTTTCAATTTACCCAGGCTGAATTCCTCCCCACCTTTCTTGGAAACAGCTCTACTGATAATCACCAAGGACTACCTAGCTGCCCAATCCAATAGTTACTTTTTGGTTCTTATCTTCCCTGAACTTGCATCTGAAGTTGGCACTGTTAACCATGCTCTCCTTGAAACACTCTTTTCTTCTTAGCACCAAATAGGCCCTCATGCTTTTCCTCCAATCTCTTGGGCTGGTCTTTCTGTCTCTATTGTGACTCCTCTCTGCTGCCCTAAGATTCGCTCCTAAACTCTCTTCTAGGCTTACTCTCTACTTTATGAGAGTTTTGTCCAAGTCTGTGGTTTAAATCATCAGCTCTTTGTTGATGGCTCACAAATCTATCCTTAGCTCAGTTTTCATTCCTCACCTTCAGACTGTAGTTTCAGCTGCTTCTTGGAAATCTCCATTTGGAGACATTTCAAAGTCACTCTGTCAAAAACTAGACTCACTATTCTCCTCTCACCTCTCTAAAATCTCACTCATACTTCTGTTTCCCCATTTCAATAAATGGCAGCAGCATCCACTCAGTTGGCCAAGCAGAAACCTTGTCTCCATCCTCTCCCTCATGTCTGCATTTCAGGATTACCAGATGCTAGTGACTTACCTTCCACACCTCTCCCCTTGCTGTGGTCCTCTCTTCTCCATCCTTACAGCCATCTAGTAGGTAGCTGAAGTCATTTCATGCCTAGGTCTCAACAGCACTCCTTTAATTGCTTTGCACCTGCAGACAGCAGTGTTTCTTTTTAATTATGGAAAAAACAAAAGATTGAATAGGTACTAAAAGATACATAGAATACTAGAATGAATGCCCATGTATGTTCACCCAGCTTAAGACTTGACCAATGCAGTTGAAGTCTCTTGTGTATTCCTACTCCTATTTTATCCTCAGGATAGGTTATACTATCTTAAATTTGATGATTATGCTTACTATAGGTGTATACTATAGGTGTATACATATAGTATGTGCATGTATATGGTTTTTCTATAAGGACAATATGATTAAGGCTTATCTGTAACTCCACATTGCACATTTTCTTTAGAAATTATTGATCATTTTGATTTATATAGAGATCACTTTCTAATATGTGAAGTCATTTTTTGTTAGATACTTGGGTATTAATTTTGCTCATTTGATTTTTTCCCTTTTTATTAAGGCATAACTTTCTTAAGGCAACATGCACCCATCGTAAGTGTGAACTTGATAAATTTGTGTCTATGTATGATCAGTTTAACCACAGCCCAGATGAAGATACAGAACACTTCCCGCACCCGTTTTCATGTCCTGTTCAAAGTGAGCACCCTCCCCCATTTTTGAATCTCTGTCATCACTGATCAATTTTGTCTAGTTTGAATTTCATACAAATGGAATCATATAGCACACCCTCTTTTATGGTGGCTCCTCTTCACATTATGTCTGTGATATTTACCCATAGTGTACATGCAGCCAGAGTTCATCCTTTTTCATTGCTGGGCCTTTAGGCACAGACTCCTTCATGCTGTGCCCCCTTCCTCCCCATCTTGCCAGTCCTCTTTTTATCCATCACCACGCATAAAACGACATGTTTCAGCCACATAGAACTACCTTGGTTCCTTAACATGCCCTGTTTTCTGTCCTCCAGACCTTTGTACCTGCTGGTTCCTCTGCCTGGAACTCCCCTCTGAGGCTCACATACCCCCCTTCCCTGCTCTGATAAGCTAGGTCATGCACCTGTATCAGGCCTCAGCTTAGCCATCACTTCCTCTGGGAAGTCCTGTGTGCCCAAGCTACCAAGAGCACCTTAAAGTCAGGCAGCGAACTGTATCTCACTGTCTCTTTGTTGCCCATTTGCTTGTTCATGTACTGGAAGCTTGGTGAGGCATGCTTCCTGCTTGTCTTGTTCATAGTGCTATGCCCTGCATTTGGCGTAGTACCTACCATGGAAGGACACCTACTTTAAGCAAATAATCTCTCGAATAGGTGAATGAATGAATGAATTCATGAACTTTTCTTTAGGAGACATATTAATTACCTCTGGAATTAGAATGAACATAGATGTCCTATCATAAAAGTATAAAAATTTGACAAATACTTAAAAACAACCACTACTACAGGTTATTCTTTAATTGGGTTGTTTTCCAGTGAAGTGTGGTTTTGAGTTGTTTCTCTGTCCCTGGCAAACAATTTCTACTTGGTAATCTGATCAATCACTGTGCAGTTGTCATTTCCAGTTGTCATAGGGTTGGGTGTTTTTACATATGGGCTACCTCAGGGCTTTTTGTTTGCAGACACGCTGGACTGTGTAAATATTGTTTAAATGAAAAGGTACACAGACATCAATACCTTTCCTGTCAGGCTTGCAGTTCACAGATGATTCAGCCTTTGGATAGAAACTGTTTCTAAATCTGTTTAAGCAACCATTTACTCAATTTGGATTCACATGACTTTGAAAATAGAAGTGGTTCTTCACACACTTGGAGAAGGATTAAGGTTACTGGTAAACATATTTTAAAATGTTAAACAAAAATTCAACCACATGCTGAGTTTTAACATGACAGAAGTCCAGAATACATTAGACAGATTCAGAGACGTATTTCATTAAAGTGAAAGCCTGTAAAGCAATTGCGGGTAAAAGAAATTAAAGAAGAAATTATACTTGTATATATACCTTCTTGTCCCACTAAAGGTAGTCTCAACCATTGCCATTGAAATTACTGATTTGTTAGCATACAGAGTAGTACATATGAACATAGCTTTGTCTGGATTGCCCCTAGATCCCACTTACAACCCAGCTGATTTCGGGCAACCTATCTGAGCCTCAGCATTCTCATAGGTAAAATGGATGGACTAATAGTGTATTGCTTCATGCCTCTGCTGTGAAGATTTAATGAGGTGTCCTGGATGCAGGAAGAGCTAAATGAATGTTGCTAATTATGATTCAGTGGACTCCTTTTGTTTTTATGTAGCAGTCCAAGATAAAAATTTAACAAAATGGAACAGTTTTCTTTTTGGAAGTAAACATTAGATCTTTCTCATTTACATTAAAAAAATCCTAATAAAGCTTTTAGAAATCCCTTTTCCTCTCTAGGTGTTGATGATGTAGGCAGGACTGGTTCTACTTTAGAAATTGTGTCTTGTTCTCAAAAAGCTCAAAAAGCTCCTGTCTGGGGTTCATGCCAGGCCCATGTGTATGAGTGACAGTAACTGTTGCAGGCCAGTGCTTTATTAACTTCTCTTCGACTCTGAAGAAAGGGGTTTTGGACTAAATCAATAACCCGTGAAATGGTATTTTGGTTATTGATTTACAGGTTTCAAAGACATTTGGCTGTTTGAAGAAGTGGAACTCTTTGTCCCTTGCTAGCTGTTATTCAATGTCCCAATATTTTTCCACTTTATTCTTTTTTTTTCTCCTTAGAATAAAAATAACATACAGTAACAAATAATGTGGAAAGCAAAATTCTGCCCTTATCTCTTCCTGCCAGAGAACCTCTATTAACAGATTTATTTTCCTCTGGGTTTTTTCCCAAAGCATGTTCTGATGTCATAAATAATCATTATTATTCCTTAATTACAATTACAAGTAATTGTAAGCGGCCTACATTTAAAATGTAGCTCTACTAATACAAATTCTGTTGTCAAATATGAATTTAAGAGAACCTCTGTATTTTCAAAGTAGGCCTAGGAATTAAAACAGAATATCTCTTCAAAGGTTCCAGCATCATTTGCTCATGTAAAATGAGGTCTCTCTTCCCAAGAATAATGTTTATCTTGTGTGATTTATTTGATTAGCTGGTATAATACAGGACAAATATAAATCCAAGCTAATTATTATTATTTTTTAAACATTTTTTAAATTAAGGTATTATTGATATACATTCTTATGAAGGTTTCACATGAAAAAACAATGTGGTTATTCCATTCACCCATATTATAATGCCCCCTGCATACCCCACTGCAGTCACTGCACATCAGTATAGTAAGATGCCACAGAGTCACTTTTTGCCTTCTTTGTGCTACACTGTCTTCCCCATGATTTTTCCATACCATGTGTGCCAATCATAATACCCCTTCTCCAACCCTTCCCATCAGCCCTTCCCCCACCTATCCCCTTCTTGGAGTCTGTGAGTCTGTTGCTGTTTTTTTCCTTCAGTTTTGCTTCATTGTTATACTCCACAAATGAGGGAAATCATTTGGTACTTGTCTTTCTCCACCTGGCTTATTTCACTGAACATAGTGTCCTCCAGCTCCATCCGTGTTCTTGCAAATTTGCTTCTTTCCTATGGCTGAATAGTATTCCATTGTGTATATGTACCACATCTTCTTTATCCATTCATCTGCTGATGGACACTTAGGTTGCTTCCATATCTTAGCTATTGTAAATAGTGCTGCAATAAACATAGGGGTGTATATGT